GCTCCAATGATCTACCTAGCAGAAAAGGTGAACAAGAGTAATCCACCATCTTCTCAAACATTAGAAAAATGCAGAGAAGACATACAAAACAATGAACTTTCTAAGTCTACAATGTGCTTCAACTGAACTCCAGAACATGTAAACTGCACTAGCAACAAAGTTTAAACTGAATCAAACATAAAGTCAACAGAAGAAGTTTTCGGTTTCCTAACTTGGCAGTGACAAGGCAGGTCAATATGAAGAAGAATATACTGCTGTACACAAGATTCTTTTAGCATGGATATCCTTTCTGAAGCAGAAAACGAGTTAAGAACCCAAAGCAATAATGATGGGTGAGTAAGAAAGAGGCTTGCTGTCTAAGAGGACTGCATGCTGAATTAAATGACAGCTGCAAAAGCAGCCACCCTCAAAACATGCCTTGGTGGTCTCTAGAAATTCTGAGGAGGTGGTGAAAGGCCATGTAACTACCACTGACATGGGGTGGGGTAGAAGCAAAGACCTGAAATAAAACAAAGTTAAAGACCATACCTGGACTGCAGGCTTCTTTAAAACGCTCCCAAAGCTACATGGATGAGGCAAGCTTTCAATGCATGCCTAAAAAAGAGAGTTGTAGAAGAGTAGTACAGATTCTTTCGGAACTGCAGAAACACAGAGCAGTGGGAATCTGTAAAACAGTTAATTCTTACACAAACAAGCACAAGCAGAAAGATGATGGTATTTATCAGATTATAGGAGAGTTTTAAGCAACATAGAAGGTGAAGAAACATCAGATGAGTAAGAGCATATTCTCACTTCCGCTAGGAATGGAATCACAAAAACTCTCCATGTCTAGTAAGATAGTGGACTGAAGCTTTCACAATTCAACTGAGAAAACATTGTAAGTCAGTCAAGCACACAGACTCGAGAATACCCACTGCATTACAAAAACCCAAAACGTTTACATATAGCTTGGCATAAATGGTAGCAGCACAAGATGTAAAGCCTGAATGTCTGTTTTTAATCAAGGACAGTGATATAACAGATATACCAGAAATATGATGGAATTAAGACAAAAATATCAGGATATTGATACAAAATACATAGGAAAGCCATAAAAATATCAATTTATTAACTCATCAGTCAAATATGGACTGAAACTCCAGACCTAGTAATGTTAACTCTGTTCAGACAATATTATTAGCCACACAATTGAGATGGTGGCAGTAGCTATGACATTTGAGGAGCACAAGGCAGCCATGTAACTGTAATGACTGACAGATATTACGAGTAGGTTGGATAAATGTCACACTGAAGAGGCCAAGATCACCTTTTTTAATATATTGTTTTTCATGCAGCTGATAGGGGCCATCCAACTCTGACTGTGGTCCCAAGAAGCATAGAAGACCTGAGTCAAAGTGCTATTTTCAAAGACTGGCTTTGGAATGGTAACTTTTATTTCTGCAAGACTATTGACCAAGTTTATTAATAAAGACAACATTCCACTACCACAGACATCCATAAAAAAACCAAGCAATATATAATAAGAAAATATATTACAATGAAACCAAAAGGACAAGTAAAAACCAAAATTAAGACACAATACTTGACAGCAACACTAGGACTCTATGTACTGAACTGTATGATGACCTTAAACACACATGGTAAATCAAGCTGCTCTTTTATTTTTTGTGGGAAGGGGAAGCTGTCACGTATAAAAGGCTACTAGAATTTAAAAGTCAACCTTTGTAAAACCAGCAGTCTAGCTTTAGCAGTCAAACAGTATCTGTCACTGATTGTAAAATTTACAGACAGATCAGAGTGCAGAGGAGTAATTTTAAAAGAAGTGCATACACACTGACTAACACCTTAAGAACAGAAATTGTGCCTCAATAAGGCAAGCAGATGATCAAAATGAAAACCAAGGTGCTCAGGGAAAAGAAGGCCACAGAAAAAAAAATAGCACACTCTGAACAAAACCCTAAATCAGTTTTTGGTACCATACACAAACTTCAGCAGAACCTTTAGAGGCAACATGTTGAAGGTTTATCCCTTAGAGCAAAACATCAGAAGAGGTTACAGAAGAAAGAATAAAAAATGGGGGAGGCTGGGGGTTATCACTCCCCAGTTCTAAAGAAACCAAGCAACTGCAGTGTGAAACTTCTGGGTTAAAGCTGCCTGGTTATCAAGTGACCGGAAGCTGGCAAAAGTGACAGCAAGCGTTTGGGAGATAGTGGCTGGTAGGAACACTTGTTTTTTAAGAAGAGATTCCAGAGGCATCCACAAAACTACAGACTTATTATATTTTTCTGTACATAGTAAACTGTCAGAAATTTTTCTAAAGCCATGAAAACAACAGGATAAACATACTCAGGAAACTGATACACTCAGAAAAAGTTGCTTTTGCAAAGGAAAGTCATGATTGATAAACATTTTAGAGTTCTTCTAAAGACTAAAACGAGATGAAGGTAAGGAGATCTAATAATACTGCACGCTTGAAATTCTAAAAGGCATCTGACACATTCCCTTGCCAAAAACTATTAAAGATGCTGTGCTGCCAAGAGAAGGTGTCATATCAGTACATTGTTTAAAGATAGAAGAGAAAGGGTATGAATCAGCAGTCATTCTCTCCTAAGGACATGGATCCTCAACAGAACAGCACAGGCACCTGCACTGGGGCTAGCAAAGTACAGTCTACTCCTCAGGGTTCTGAGACAGCAGTTTCTGAGGCCCACAGTGTATTCCAGTAACAGTGTTATTCAAAGTAACAAAGGGATTAAGGAATTTAAAATTGCAGAACCATTTCACTGAGGAAATAGGTATTATAACCAGCAGACTAAACTCACTGTAGATAAATGAGAGCAATTCACGTTGGGAAAAACACAAAAATTCAGACCTTTATATATAGACATACATATTTATGGAACTATATAGTTGACTATTATATTCAGGACTGAGGAATTGTTCAGAAAACGTAGTGTAAAGGCTAGGCAAAAGCAAAACAAATAGCCATTATTTTTAGAAGCAAAATAAAGCAAAAAAACACCCTTTTTTTGCTTTGTTTTTTAAGATAAATCCACAGTGAACACTGTGAGTGGCTCTACCTGCTGCTCCCTCCTTGTGATACTGGAAAAGTAAAGCAAAGCTCAACAACATGCAACTAAAAGAAATACGACTTCTCAGTATGAAACAGAAACAACTGAGGCAGCCAGGTTAGGTTAGAAGTCTACAAACTCGAAAGCGACACAGAGAGTGCACCAGAGGGTTGTTTTAATGCTGCAGGCCTCAACCAGAGCCACCAAATGGTGGATTCAAACATACCAATCACAAATTGCTGCAGTTACAAGAGCCTTCTAAGGAGACCCACATATGAACTGTTACCTACCCTACACATTCCCTACGCCCCTGGCACTCCAAGACATCACACCATGCCAGACAGAACCAGGATTACTTTCCAGTTCTAATTTACCAGTGTGAAGAAAGGGGAAAAAAAAGTCTTTTAAAAATATGATTTAAGGCTAGCAACACTTCAGTCTGGTCCTATGGCAACAGCAATAATAAAAACATAATATGCATTGCAACATTTTAAAAAAGTTAGTGGAACGCTGCGATTCTTCTGACAGTGTTATTTCAGGTTTTAATCACAAATGTAAACCAAATATTGCTAATAACTTATTTAACAGCTCCCTCACCCAACAAAAAAAAGGAGTAATAATAACAATCAGGGTCAGAACTCACTAAGAGGGAAGACTCTTAAGTTTAGCTTTTGGTCAATATATGCCACACAGGCTTTGCCTGTCAAATACCAAGGACAGGTACAGGCAGAATCCAAGTCACTGACATATTACTGCTTGACTAGTAAAAATGTACCAGCTGTCCTTCCTCACCTTCAGTGCCCTCAGAAAAAAATTCATCTTATCTCTGGCCAATTCCTTCTATCAAAGGGAAACATAATTAGCAATTATACTTTTGAGGCAAAGACATATATGACACATAACTTTTCATAGCAAATAACACCACCTCTGTACAAAAGGCTAACAGGAAGATAAAGACTGCTGAAAGGACTACCTTTAGTGGTACTTTATATTCCAGAGCAAGTAGCACAACCAACTGTACAATCTCCTGAACATACAACCATTCCTTGTACCACTTCTCAATATATGCCTGCAAGAAGCTTGAACATACACTGTCTTGCGGCACAAAGACAAAATTTCTCAGCTGCACAAATGAAAATCTCTGACTTTAAAAACTCAAAGTTATCATCAGTGAGATCTCTTCTTTCTGTACTTCAGCTTGTGCCGAGATGGGAAGCAATTTCAAAAGCTGAGTCAACATCTGGATCATGATACAATGAACACAGGAGCTAAGAAGTGAAGGTCGTAAACCACATTCATAGTTTTCTTCAGAGATAATAAAAACATCAATTATCAAAAATTACTTGATCTCAACAGAAAGGCCTGAGGTCAAACATTTGGTAAGTTTTCAGCAAGACAGAAGCACTCAGGATCATTTGCACCTGAATAATTACTCTGCTTCAGAAGTTGCTTTGACTAAGATACATGGCTATTTTATTGACTATACACAGATACTAAGCAGCATCAACTGAGTGTTCAAGAAGATACAGAGCAAAACACCTTGACTTCATAATCTGGAAGTGATAAGTGTTTTCTAAACATCTACTGAGTCAGTCAAAAGTCCTTTTATGCAGCAAGGTCTGCAACTGTGCTGTTCACCACTGTATGTGCAGCTCAAACTCCAAATATCACAGGATTAGCAGCCCCAATGACCAATCAACAGTCCTTCAATGCATCCATGCAAGTGCTACTGCATTAAATGAGTGTTGTGTGTACATTCAAGAATGGACTGAGTAGCTTCTGTCTTTATGAAAACACAGTGCCCATAATTAAACCTCCTAAAGGCAATTCAGGTATGCTGAAGATCTAAAAGCTTTGTAGTGTTAGGTACAAACAAAGCCAAAATGAAACTCCTTGCTACTTTGTAGGGAGTAACCAGTAAGAATACAAAACTATGCAGTTTGCAATCTTTGCCCTTCATGAAAAACTTGATGCAATCATACCTGCCACCCAATAAACATGCCCCCACACTTTATTAACATCTGTGCAACATGATAATTCAAATAAAGTCTCCACTCTATCCCAAATTGGAAAACAAGCCTTTATAAAAATACAGTGCTTTAAAAAAGATATCAGCATGTTATTAAAGTTATCACCATATCAAAACCAGATCTTTTTCAAAGTGTTTCATACACAGACTTCATAATATCAAACAGACTCTTTCAGGTAGTTAAACATACACACTGCCCTCCAGTTCTGCTGAACTTCCCCTCTGACTAAATACCAAGTCAATTACCTACATCAAATCTTCAAACAATTTCCAATCCTCTCCCTTTAATTAGTATATATTACCATCATGGCATTGAAGTAGGCATTCATTTGAGGTAGTATTTAAGTCATAAGCTGCAAGCCTCCATCTACGACTAGAACACTTCCCGTAACATATGGGGATTCTAGAAGAAAGACAACAGCTTGTGCAACCTCATGAGGCTCTCCAAATCTTCCAAGGAGAATTGCTTTCTTCAACTGATCTTCTTCCAAATGGCTGGTCATCTCTGTGTGAATAAAGCCTAAGAGAGGAGAGATATTTGAAGAGTTACCTAACCTTCACCTAAATTTATCTAGTGGATTTTTCACTGAATCCTACAAAGTGAAATCTATTACCAGGGTTCAGCACCACCTACCGTTCTTCAAAGTCTCCACAAGCAATCCCCATCATTTTACAACCAAGACCAAGTTTTTATCTGACCCACAAAGTGTCTTTCAGTTTTGGAAGCACTGATGCAATAATCAAAATGCAGAGCTCTATAGAAGTCCATTAACAACAACAAAAAGTAACTAAAATTGAGTCCCAAACCCATATTTAATATCACTTTTCTGAATGACACAATACACTCATTTCACCAAAACATTCTCAATTAAAATAGAAGTAGGAAATCTCTGGCAAGAAATCCGCTCAGCTTGCAAGTGTTTCTATTGTATTTCAGAACTCATGACAGTGGTTGCATAATTTCCATTATATCACTTATTTGAAAAATATTTCTTGACATTTTTGAAGGACATTCATTAACAATCCTCAATTATCTGATATTTGGCTTTCCCATTGCTGCACATCTCTTCACATAAGCTGCAGCTTCATAAAAAGCTGATCTTATCTGCTTTCTAGCTGCCACCAAGAGGGGAAAGGGCCCCTTTTCCTTTCTACTGTACAACTCTCCCGCTTCGTGATGGCTCTGGACCCTTCAGTGAGCTGCTTAATTCAATAAAGAACAAAGGTATTTTTCCTGCCTAGTTCACAAGCTGAACTTGTTCATGCAGAAGTCTGAAAGGCGTCAGAGGTAGCACAAGGTAAACAGCAGAGTACACAGTTATGAATGGAAAAAGTCAGAAATAGAGTGAAAATAGAGAGGGTGGTGGTTTCCTTGTACTGGATCATCTTATGAAATCACAGCCTTGTCTTCACAAAACTAACTTTCCCAACTCCCTCCTTTTACTACAGGGAGAGACCAGGATGCTTTTATGACAGCTTCTCGTGGTCTGTCACGTTTCTCTAATAACAAATAAGCATTGTCTAGCAGGAGACAAGGGTAGCTGTCTGTCTATAACTACTTCTAATCCTTCCATCTGCAAGGTCAGCAAGTGCTGAAGGAAGAACAAAGGGGAAAAAAAAAAGACATTTATTATGTAACAATGGATAAAGGAATAGGTAGATTCACTCTTTCAAATTCTCAGCGTTCCCTTAAAAAGACTGAAGGTTGTGTATAAAAATATATTATATTTTAAACCACAAAAGAAAAAGAAGACTGATTAAAAACATTTACTTTACAAAACTGAAGAAAATAACAGCAACTTGTCTAAAGTTACCTTGAGAGTACAAGCAATATCCACAGTCAAGGATGTAGGAATTTCCCAAAAACTAACCTGGAGCAACAACGTTGACTCGAATTTGCTTTCTTCCTACTTCTTTAGCAAGAGAGCGTGAAAATCCCACTAATCCTGCTTTGGTAGCACTATACACACTCTGACCAGAGTTGCCTTTAAGTCCTACAATACTTCCTAAAATAAAGAAACATCAAAGAGAAGATTAAGTGGCTAACTTGAAACCTTGTACTAGCTTTATCATTTTAGTTTTAAATTTGGAATGAAAAATGAGATTACAAGAAAAGGAGTCAAATATATATTTTTCTGTATGCACTTTATAGCCTACAGCTAGGATAAGCAAGTTCCCCAATTATCTGTGAGCTTGTGCAATTCATGTATCTATGTTGACCAACAGGCACCAGGAGAGCAAAACATAGAGCTTTCTAAAACAAGTATCCTTTGACAGATTAAATAAAAATTAAAAAGAAAAAAGTTGACTGTACCTATTGGTTCTTAGTTAATAAATAGCAGCTGATAGATTTAGATACTGAAAGAACTGATAAAGAATGGAAAAATTCTTTAGTCAACAAAATATAAACTCTGAGGTTTTATATTTAGAAGTTGCTGAAAATACACAAAAGAGTATTTCTTCATAGAGAAATGCTAAATCAAGAATGTCTAAATACAAAGAAAATTAAAATAAGTCAATTGTAACAAGTTACACCTGCTAAACCTGTCTAGAAGACTAGTACACAGAATTCCACTGGCTTGCACAAACAACTTACCTATATTGACAATAGCACCTCCCTGTTGTTGAATCATGTCTTTTAAAGCAGCTTTGCATGTCAACATTGTTCCCAAAAGGTTAGTGTGAATCTGGGCTATCATATCTTCAGTCTTGGTTCTCAGTAACAAACCATCCCTGACAGACCAAAGAAATCCAAAATAACTCACTGAACAACCCCACTGATCATGTTTGCTCATAATCAAACACGACTGGTGAATGGAAGGAATATTAAGGGGAGTCTATACAGTTCTATATGCTCTGGCATTCAAAATAACAACATTGCAAGGACAACACAGAGCAAGAATAAAAGTTATCCATGCTTCTGGCAACAAAGCCTCTTTTACAGAGAGGCATTAGACATTGTCTCAGACCATTCTGGGGGAAGAAGCGGAAAAAAGAGGAGTAGAGGGGGAACTCAAACTCAGAATGCAGAAACTACAGTGAAAGCTGTATCATCTGTTAGCATTTTACTGCCATCAGGAACAAAATATTGGTGAGCACTTAATACTGTTTTCAGATGTGCTCATTAACAGCACTTAGGAAATGCAAAGGCCCATTACAATGAGATGCCTTCATCTAGAATTACACGTAATCTTGGAACAACTAACCTGTTGATCCCAGCTGCATTAACCAAGTAGTTAACAGGACCTAAATTCCTCTTCATCTCCTCAAAAGTCTTTTGGACTTCTTGTTCATTGGATACATCACAGCTAAGTGCCAGATGTCCTGCTGTATTGAAATAAAGACACATCATAATAACAGTAAAAGCTGGTATATCATTCACAAACCTTCTTCAGAATTTATCAACTCAATTACAAAACAGATGTTGAACTAGCTATAATTTCAGGAACCCACTTAATCTCCAGAGAATTAAATAAAGACAATTTTCAAGTATTGTATTGACTAGTTAAGTGACAATTCCTTGATATTTTTCACCTTTTGAAATCAGAGGTTCAGCATGAGCAGAGAGGTCTCAGTTCTGGCTTATTCAGGAACTGAGGATGACTCAATTCATACCACCTCTGTTGTGACCCTAAACAATTCTTTTCATCGTAAAATTCATATGCTGCAGATGGAATACGTAATACACTTAGCTTTCTCAACGAATAGTGTGGAAATAAAATTGTACTGACAACAAAGCTTTTCTTTTCAATTTCTCGGCCTTTATTTTCATTTGCATCTAGTTAAACAATGAAAGTTCTTTAATGACTTACTACTTTTGCAAGTTACCTAAGCATTGGACAGTGAAGAGATAATTGCAAAGCAGCATACATACCACCAAGATTACGTGCAGTGCTTTGGGCTACTTCCAGATTTCTAGCAACGATCGCCAGGCGATAGCCCTTCTGTGCCAGTAGTTCTGCAACAGCTTTGCCTATTCCTCGGGATCCTCCAAAAATGGCACAAACCTTGCCCATCTTCAAAAATAATTCACAAGTTTCAAATAAACCATGCCCAAACAAACCATGTTCAGTATAGCAAGAGAATAACTACTGTTCTTGTCAGCATCACAGCCTTTACCAGTTTGTTGCATTTTGTAATAGCAGGTTATAGAATTAGTGTTTTGTTATTTTTTTGTTCACCAAAATATAAACACTTGAACTAAATTAGACATCACTCCTGCAAATGGAAGTTAATTCTTAATGATTGCTGAGCTATTGAAAAAATTATGCATGCAATCTAGCACTCCAATACTAGAGTTACAATCACTTCTACTCAATTGATGAAATATGTGATTTTTGTATATAAAGGCCAAAACATATCGTTCAGCTACTTATGTAAAGCCAATGTACTAGTTGTAATTACATTGTTTTTGCAATCACTACTGTGCTAAAATCATCTATCTTCGAGGTCTCACTCCTCAGATTTAAGTATCTGTGTTGGACACTGCCAGTGCAAATGTTTCTGAGCACAATTTGAAAGTATTATATTTACACTGGTTTAATACCATCACACCACATGATACAATGTTTTATCACTAGCCTCAGGGGTTTTTGTTTCTGCTTTTGAAGAAAACAAAAAAAAGCATTTTGAAGTGAAATGATTTTGAAATAGCTAGTTTTGATGTTTAGGAAGGCATGTAAGAAGAAAGTATTTCTGTAGAATGATCTTTTATTCTGCAAGCTCTAGAAAGCAATCAGCTGGTTTGGGATTTCCTGAGGAGCCAGAGGCAGAATCCAAGCAACAGTAATGAATCTTCTTTCCATACATTTGAATAAATCCTTTTTGAGCCCAATTATACTTTGTCTCCATAACATCCTGAGGCAACAAGTTTCATTATTTGTGGGAAAGTACTTCCTTTTGTTCTTAATTTGCTTTCTGATTAGATAATAGTATGCATTTCTCCTTGCATTTTCCCCTTACTGTTGGTAACTTCAGAGGTTACTCTTCTCCATTTGCCCCTCCCCCTGTATCCTCTCTTTTTCAGGCCTAACTAGTTACTCTTACACAGGTGGAAAACATTTGGTACCTCACTGAAGACTGGTCAGGCTCTTAGGCTTTACTGAGATCTATCAGACCCTTCTGGATGTGTGATAGCCACAGCAGCACACAGTGCCGAACATACAAGGCCACTCATAAACTGGTGTGATGATTTTGGCCTTCTGTGACAGGGCCTGGAAGAGCAATGATCTGCCCCTTCCTGTAACTAAGCACGCACAAACGCTCGAAACCAACCCCTGCATCTACTTCCACCGGCAAGTTGGAATCAGCTTCCCGGGGCAGGAAGAGGATTAAATTCCTGCATCTCAGACGGCAGTGCTTTCTCCAGAACAGGTGCAAGAACACGACCCCCGTGAAGGCAATTCCTTCGTGACAGAAACGGGCAGCACTGCCTCGGCAGCATGACTACTGTTCTGGGCGGTGTCGTCAGACACTTCAAGAGACGAGGCAAGAGCTCTTGCGCCGCAGCGACTACAGCTCTTTTCGCTCTGTGGCCTTTGCTTCTTAGCGCACACCGCGC